GCAGGTATCAATATTCAAGCCTCACTCATCTATCCATCCATCACTTCACTATTAATCGACTTTAGCTGAAGGGTCGCTCAGATCAGTACTTACTTCTCCACTTGCACTTGCTTGAAGCACGTGATGACTTCCCTTCAAGGTAAACAAATGAGAAAACGAATGAATGAAACAATGAAAGGAGGGATGGCTGAACAGATGGTAGAATGCAACGTTGATTTGAAACATGAATAGATGATGAATGAATTAAATATAGGAAGGTTGGATGAATAGATGAAAAAAGGAATGAATAAAAAGATGAACAAATGAATGGGAGGATGGAGGGATAAACGAGCAAATGAACAGGAATATCATTGTAGGATGAATGAATAAATAAATAGAATGAAAGCATGAATGACTAAGCAAATGAATGAACTAGTACTACTGATGCCAAGCAGTTGTCCAGTACATGTGAAACATGATGTTTTTCAAGATAATCAACATCACTTGAGTTTAACGAGAGGGGGTGAAGATAATCAAATATGAGTCACACTACCTCTTCCTGTTATCAAGTTTTTATCAATATCACTACCAAACACTCTTGAACCAAAATGTCCACATGATAATAAAGTACTGCCTGTCCCAACAAAAGGATCAAACACCAGTGTTCCTGGTCGTGCCTGGAAATAGAACCATGACTAATAAAAACAAAATTCTGTTTTTGAAATTTTTCTGCACCCTTGAATAATATACAACTAGACACTCTTGGAGCGTGAAGTCGGACTAGCTATTTTTGAATGTATATCATGGCGTAGACTATTATATTTTTTACTACGACATAATGCATAGATAGATAGATAGATTGGCTAAAAGGTCAAACTTAAGTCGACTAGCCGAAAATTACTGAAAGCTATTTTAGGATGTTTAAATGCAATGTTTTTTTAAAAAAAAAGGCTGTAATATGCAACACCTGAGGAAGATGAGTCCAAGACTGTCAAAAAAAATAAAAAGACATTACAATTAGACATCAGAAAATAACTTTCAGTAATCAAATATAATTATCAAAGTGTATCATTGTACAGGTCAAACACTGAATAATTCAGTCATTGCTCAAGATTCAATAATAGAGTCTGATAATATCAACATTGGTATCGCAGGCTAATCCAATGGAAATGGACTTTCTTCTCTACTTGGTCTTCCTGTGTTCATAATCTTGACTGGTGTTGAGGAATTAGGAACAACGAATAAGAAGATTAGAACTCCTCCTTTTCCTTCCTTCCTMACCCCCTCCCCCTTCGGCAGCTTTTTTTGCCTTAACACAGGAATCCCACAGAGTAGTGTTGACTGCAAAGGATGCTCCATTGATTTGTGTATCTCTATATCACATATATATAACTATGACGTCACTATAGTATGTAGTCATGTTGTTGTTGTACATACCTGTCCTTGATTAGCCATAAAGAATGATAGCAATGGATCCATTGATGTATTACCAATAAAGTACCTATCCTTCAAAGAGTACTTCTGACATAAGTGACGTTGTCCTTT